ATAGTAAGGGTATTTATATCTATTATAAATAAATATATTCAAGCGCTGAACTATCCGCGTCACCAGCGTGAATAAGGCTCGGCAGTGGTGGAAGAAGCCGCGGAGGCTGAGGGACGCTCCGGGGCCGCCGAGCACGGCACGGGGTGTGGAGACCCTACGGCCACATCCTTCTCAAGCCCTTTCAGACTCTGCACTCCCTTTATCAAGAGGCTTGTGCGAGCCCGAAGGCGCCCGGGCCAAGGGGAAAAGCCGAAATGAGGCGAGGAAAGAGGGGAAGGGACCCCCTGCCGCGCTGCCTTGTGGAGAAAGGATGAGCAGGGACAGGGTGGAGACCCAGCAGCACAGGGCCAGCCCGGCCCCGGGGTCTGGAAACGGCACGAACCTGCTTACGGGGGTTGGAGTTCCCCAGGAGGTAGGTCCTGCTGCCCACCAAGGTGTCCCCAAGGTGTCCGATGGCGCCGGAGTCGCCGACGCTGCGGTAGGTGCGGGTGACGGTCACGCTGGAAGTGGACGAGCCCGAGGAGACGGTGTTGATACCGGAGTTCGGGTTGCCCGGCTTCTCGGCCGGCTGACCGCACGTGCCGCAGACCACCGTGCGCGAGCGGAGGTTGTATTCGCCGGGGTCCCCAGAGGCAGCGCAGCTACCCTAGAGGGGGAGGGGAAGGACGGACAAAACGACCTTGAGCGCCCTGCCCTGAGCACCGCGGCAGCACCGGTGTCACCCAGGAGGGCTCTTCAAGTTAATCTTCCAAGAGGGTCCGCGCTCCTCCCATCCTCTCCATCATGTCATTTCAAAATCATAAATTATTATTATATTTATAACCCCAAATTACTGGGGCTGGCACACTGCCGATGGGTGAACTGGCCCTGCTGCCCCGTCCTTGCACCCCGGGCTCTCGGCACGCAGGAGATCTCTTAATTGTGCTTCTCTTGTGCTTAGCTAAGAGCATCGTCTTCCTCGCCGCCTGGCAGAGCGCAGGCTGACTGCTTTCCAACGGGAAATTCGCTCTCGGCAAGGATTCAACCTCCAGACGAATGGGCAGCGCTGTCTCCTCCGCCATCGATCATCCTCCATCATCGAGACCATCGATCTCCGTCTCGGCACGGCTCTCCAGCTCCAGAGGACCCCAAGGAAAGCGGGCGACGGACGGCCCGTCCCGCTCCTGTCACCCCGAGCCCCGGCCAGCGGCATCCGGCAGATTCTTCGCCAGCGTGGAGGCACAGCGTGGCGGTGACGGCATCTCTCCGCGCACGATTCCTGCGGGCATCTCGTGCGTGGGACAGATCTTTCCCTGCGGGACGGGCTGGCGGGGGCTCCTGGGCTGCAGCCAGGGATGTTTTCTTCGACGCGGGGAGAAGCGGCTGCAGGCAGCTCAGCTCTGGGCACGCTGCCTGCTCGCTGCCCGCTGCTCTTCCCGGTGCACGTTTCAGCTCCGCGAGCGGAGCGATGGGCTGAGAGCAAGGACAAAGTCACCTCTGGATTCGTTCCAGCGCCCTCGTGAAGCGCAGACGATGGAGCAGCTGCCGCGGAGAAGTGTCGTCCATCACCTTCCCACCGCCTTGTCCTCCACCTCCGAGCGATGCGCGGTCCCTGCTCAGCCTCCCGCCCGGCTCCTCCAGCCCTTTTTGTGGCAGGTCAGGGTTGCTCAGGGTTGGAGATGACTTCCAGCAAGGTCTCTAATCTTCTCCAGGTGCCAGAGCTCTGTTGGCTTCTCCCATGTGGTTGTTTCCACAGCAGCCTTCTCCCATAAGGCCTGATCCTGCGTGACGCTGAGCTGCCTCCCACCCTGACTGGGACCAGACCCGAGCTCTCCTAGCACCCCTGCTACGGACCCCCCCGGGACCAACCCCTTCGCCAGCACAGGACTCACGTGGTGATGGCGGTGGTGGATGTTCACCTCATCATCGTCCTCATCCTCATCTTCATCGTTGATGATCACGGTGCGGACCAGTTTCCGCATGGCCACCTCCTGCGGGGGAACAGCGAAGGAGTTGGGGGGGGGGTTGGTGCCTGCTGACCCCCCTGTGCCCCCCCGAGCCGCTGCTCTGGGCTCTCCACACCATGTTGCTGGGGGGGGCGTGGGTCGCCCCAGCCCCCGAGGCCCAGATCTAGGGAGAAAAGCAGAGAGAAAAGCCACGTCTCAGGTCTGCGGAGCCCAGACCCCAGAAAAGCCACGTGCCAAGGAGCCTGCGCCCTTGGCTCGGCGTCACCAACGGTTGGGGACCTCGGCTGGATCCCTCGCCGGGCAGCGACTCACCGTGACCACCTGGCCAGCCTTCAGGGTGAACTTCGGGGGGAAGCGGTAGGTGATGGGGGGATCGTCTCCGTTCTGCCGCTTGATCTGCCAGTTCCCCATCGCCTGGTCCTGCGAGAGAGAGAGCAGCAACCCTGAGATCCCCCACCCCGGTTCCTCCCAGCTTGTCCCCGTTCACCTCCTGCCCGTGGGGCGCCCCAAGGATCCTCCCCGAAGGCAAACGCACCTCGTTGGACTTGTTCCTGAGACGGACGAATTTGCCCTCCAGATCCACCTCCTCCACGCCGACGCGGCCGCTTGTCCGGGCGTGGTGGGAGAAGCTGGTCCGGCTCTCGCCATCCTCCAGCTTCCTCTTCTTGGAGGAGCCCGGGGTGGACAAGTGGCTCCGGGATGGGCCTTTGTGGGAGGAAGGGCTGGGGGACAACCTCAGCCTGGGCAGGAGGAGAAGGCGAGATGGAGTCGGTGAGGACACGAGGGCTGGGACCCGCACAGCCCACCGGCCGCAGCCCCCCGCTGTGCTCACCGCTCCTCCTCGCCCTCCAGCAGCTTGCGGTAGGCGTTGATCTCCATGTCCAGAGCCAGCTTGATGTCCAGCAGCTCCTGGTACTCATCCAGCTGCTGCTGCATGCGCGCCCGCATCTCGGCCATCTCCCGGTCCTTGTCGGAGAGCAGGCGCCGGTTGGTCTCGCGTTCCCTGGCCAGCATGTCCTCCAAATCGTGCAGCTTCGCCTCCTTGGCCGCCAACTGTGCGGGGAGAGAAGGTGAGGGCGGCTGCTCCACCTGGGGCCGTCCCCCGGAGGGGACCATCCCCGGGGAATGGACATCGGGAGGAACCCCGTGGTCCTGACCCACCTGCTTCTGCAGCTGGCTGACTTCGGAGGAGAGCGTGTCGATGCGGATGCGGGCCTGCTGCAGCTCCTCGTGGGCAGCGCCCACCATGTTGCTGTTCCTCTCGGCCGACTGCTTGGCGTTCTCCAGCTGGGGGCCAAGACGGGGGGGTGCTGCTCACCTTCGCCCCGTAGGTCTTCTCCAGTTCGTCCTTGTAAAGCCTGATCTGGGCTTCGTGCTGGCACCGCAGCTCCTGCAAGGCTTCGGCGAGCTTGCTCTCGAACTCCCGCTGCCGCCCGTTGTCGATCTCCACCAGCCGGGTCTCGTGGCGGCGCTTGGTCTCCCGCAGCTCCTGGGGACGGGTCAGGGGACATGGTGTCACCTCGGGGTGGGATCAGCTCGGGGATGGGGACACCACACCCGGGGTGGGGGGCACGTCACGCCTCACCTCGCTGTAAATGTTCTTCTGGAATTCGAGCTCTTCCTTCAGCGTCTGCAGCCGGTTCTCGGCATCCACGCGGCGCAGCATCTCGTCCTGCAGCTGCTTCTTGGCTTCGCCCAAGGCGCTCTCCAGCTGCGGGCAAGCGAGAAGCATCGTCCCAGCGGGCTCCGGGGGACCGTCCAGGCACTGGACCCGGCGCTGGCCTGGGACCCACCACCCAGCCGTCCCCTGGCACGGAGGGGACCTGGGGGGTCCCTGGGGCAGTTGGGGACAGCCCTGCCACCACTCACCTTGGCCACCTGTGCTCTCAGGTCCCGCACTTCCGACTCCAGACTCCTCTTCTCGCCCAGGGCTGTGGAGAGCGCAGCCTCCTTGGAGTTCAGCAAAGCCTCCACGTCCTTGAGGCGCGCCTGGGCGGTCAGCAGGTCCCCTTCCTTCTTGGCGTTCCTGCAAGGCAGCGGGTGAGCGGCACGGCGGGGAGAACCCACGCGTTGCACCCTCACCCCAGGTGTCACGTCCACACCCCTCTGATGGCCACCAAAGAGTCACGATGTGGTCTCTGACACGTGGGCATCATGTCTACACCCCTCTGATGGCCACCAAAGAGTCGCAAGATGGTCCCTGGCACCCAGGCATCACATGTGCACCCCTCGGACGGCTCCCCAAGAGTCACAGGGTGGTCAACGGCCCCCCAAGAGTCATGGGGTGGACCCTGACACCCAGGCATCAAGTCCGCACCCCTCTAATGGCCCACCAACGAGTCATGGGATGGTCCCCGGCACCTAGGTATCACGTCCACACCCCTCTGATGGCCACCAAAGAGTCGCAAGGTGGTCCCCGACACCCAGGCATCACATGTGCACCCCTCTGACGGCTCCCCAAGAGTCATGGGGGGGTCAACGGCCCCCCAAGAGTTCCCTGACACCCAGGCGTCACGTCTGCACCCCTCTGATGTCCACCAAAGCGTCACGGGGTGGTCCCTGGCACCCAGACATCACTTCCACACCCCTCTGATGGCCACCAAAGAGTTGCGGGGTGGTCCCTGGCACCCAGGCATCATGTCCACACCCCTCTGATGGCCCCCCGAGAGTCGCTGGGTGGTCTTTGGCACCCAGGCATCACTTACACAACTCTTTGACACCCCCCAAAGAGTCGCGGGTTTGTCCCCGGCACCCAGGCATCACATCCGCACCCCTCTGATGGCCACCAAAGAGTTGCGGGGTGGTTCTTGGCACGCAGGCATCATGTCTACACCCCTCTGACGTCCACCAAAGAGTCATGGGATGGTCCCCGGCACCCAGGCATCATGTCTACACCTGTCTGATGGCCACCAAAGAGTCACGGGATGGTCCCTTGCACCCAGGTAACACGTCCACACCCCTCTGATGGCCATCAAAGAGTTGCGGTGTGGTCCCCGGCACCCAGTCATCACGTCCACACCCCTCTGATGGCCCCCCGAGAGTCACAGGGTGGTCCCTGGCCCCCATCCGCCCGCCCACGACCCCGGTGGGTCCCGACCAGCGCCGGTTTGGACCCGGCAGAGCAGCGAGGGCCGGGGAACGCGGGCGAGCGGGAGGGGCCTGGGGGGGCGGC